AATCGAACGTTGATGCCTCGTGTTATTCGAGGAAACGTGTATTCTTGAAGTTATCAATATCGAACGATAATTTTTTCATTTTCGCCGAGGTCCCAGACATCTCTGTCTCCGCTGATTAATGAAAAATGGAAGAATTATAATCAGTGATGACACAAAAAAGAAGAAAGAAAAAAAATACAGTAAACTCGCATCCGTCTCGAAGACTTGTATTATTGTTGCCACAAATTAGCTCGACACGTCATCATTCGGTGCTGATTTCCAATGTTAATACATCGCTACGTATGTAATCGCACGTCGTTAGGAAATAATTCTTGCGAAACGATTCTTCGACAATTTCTTTTTTTCTTCAGGAAAATCCTAATTTTTTTTTTTCTTTCTCCAATGGTGCAGTCGTTATTGCTCGTTTCCCGAGAAATCTTAATTATTCTACGATCGAAACGCGCGATTTTTCAACGGAATTTCTGTATGATGTGTTTCAAGGTCACACAAGGAAGACACAGAAACCGAGTGTAACAGGTTTCCTTATTTTACGTAAGCATGACTCGCGGCTACCGATCGGTTTAATCGGTCCTCGACACCTGTACCAATCGGTAAACAGACAGAAATAACTGTCACAGACGATTATTTTTATCGTCGTTTAATCACAAATGATTCGCCAAGCTTGCAATTTATTGCCACTTTTTTATTGCACTCTCGTCGCGATTGCCGATATTGTTATTTAAGAGAGAGAGAGGAAAACGGATGCATAAACGTGCCTATGATATAATTTCATTCGTAATTCAATTTGTAAATAGATACAAGCAGAGAAAAATGTGATAACTCGGTGTTCGTGTCTTATGGAGAAGTTTTGAGGTTAGAATTAAGGTCAGTCGGAGTGCCATTTTGTTTTTGCAATTGTCGACACCGTGCAGCTGCTTTAATATAAATATAAAGATAAAGAGGTAAGATAGTTCCCTTAATATCAGAGTTTTCAAAGTTGAAACACGAAATATTCGCATCGAAACGACGTAATATTCCTCTTTCAAATATTTTCCCAAACGGTCTTATCGGTATTATATCGTTTTAATTAATATTATCTATGAACTATCGATCGTTCAAATCTTAGTCTTAAAATTCCCAAACTCTCTTGGTATTTACTTTCGAGATCACAGATTTTTCGTCATGGCCCAGAAGATATCGCTGGACATAACCTCAATTAGGCTGTATTAGCAGTATTACGTCGCAGATTAATCAGCTATCTTCGAAGATCTCTTATCACTGGAATTAATACAGACTTCTAAATGGCCGATTTCACTTGTCAAGCAACGTGAAAAATCCAAAAGTCAACAAAAATCAATATATCTCATTTTCCCTCTTCGATCTTTTATCATTGAAGCAAATATTTGCTAACGCTGTGTCAAAGAGTAACCGGATAGCTAAGAAGGTACAAAGTCGTTACATGACTAATCGCGATCGGCAAACAGAGATTAGTGAAACAGGAATCGATATCGAGTGTCTTAGAAGCGCGTATCTCGTCTTCGAATCATTACAATATCATACTAATTCATACAGAAAAGCCTGGCTCGACGAACGTCGTTAAATTCTCGTACAACATCCCGGTATATCGAAACAACTTTTTTACTCTCGCTGTCTACTGATTGACAATTCCTATTCATCAATTAACACACGGTACATGCAGAGACGTTCGAACGATGATGAAATATATCGACAATTGCGTCAAATTTGATCCCGGCGAGTCCTGTGCTTCCGGGCCACCCGGTATATACTTGTCCCGCGCGTTTGCATACCTTGATCATTCGCGAAAGACGCGCATGGGGAGCAGTGAGAATTTCGGAAATTAAATTGCACTCGTAATTGGCCTCGATTCCCCCATCATACCGGGTGTCCCGAAAGTACGATAGCAGAAAACAAGACGTCACTTTTTAACATCCAAACTCTCGTTTTTGTAATGCTATAAACTTGTAAATCTTGATTCGATTTTCTCAGGATGATTTTTATATCCTGCCTTCCCGAGTCGGTAGTTACACGACACCCTGTATACCCTCGAGGCGACTGACGATGCGCCGTGGAAGCCAAACAAACGCTATGCTATACCCGCGATCGTGCTCCATAGTGTTTTCTTCTATCCCGACGAAATAACTCTCCTCTCCTTTCTTCCCTTTTTCTCTCCTCTCCTCTCCTCTCCCGCGTTTCTCCGTCGTCTCTCACGACCCGCGTCCCAGTTTTCTAAGCGAGTGCGACTTACCTGAGCGCAGATCGTTAGACATGACGCCAGCTGTAGAGACACACACACACACTGTACACTGCGGCGCGGCGAGAGATCGAGAGCTGCGATCGAGATCGATGGGGAGCACCGTGGAGGAGCGAGTGCACGGTCGCTCGTCCCGATTGTTTGTGAACCGCCACGATCGTACGCACTTTTATCGCCACGGCACGTGGTCATTCGGCGGTTGATTCAACGTTAACCTCCTCCACGTAGCCCCCCCACCACCGCGCTCACCGCTCGCGTGCGCACCAGCGCGCGCACCGAGTTTATTCTCGATTCCTGAGCAGCCAGTTTATTTTTACCGCGTGCAACAAACTCCGACGGAGGCCGTAAACAATATAGGTGCGTCAACTCCCTGTCCCTGGCAAACTCGCGGGAACCTATAGGGTGGCCCCGTGAGTTTTGAGGTTAGGATCGATCCCATTCGTATTGCAACCTTTCGAGAGATATTTCCAGTGGAATATTATTTTCGCGAATTTCAGGTATTTACGCTGTTTTGGAAATTTATTTTAACGGGTGAGAGATGTTTGGAAATTTTTTTTCTTATTTTATCGTGCGTTCGAAATGTTTTGAAGGTTAGGAAACGAGCGATTTTGCTGCAACCTACTGCGAAATTTATGCTGGTCGAAAAGCAATGTTTTCAAATTTGAAATATTTCAATTTGTTTGAAAATTTATTCCACGGAGTGAGGGATGTTTGGAAATTTTTTTTTATTTAATTTCAACGAGTTAGAAATGTTTGCAGCGTTACTTGGGCTATGGGGTGACAGGCATCTGTGGCATTTTTAATATTTTTGGAATTCGACCAATCATTAAAATTTTTCCGAATATACAACTCGATGACGATGAATAGAATTTAGTGAAAAAAGAAAATTTTAGAGGGGATTTAATGTTAACGAATTAAAAATGTTTGGAGCATAACTTTGACTCCAAGGTGACAGGTATCTGTGGAATTTTTAATAACTTTGGAATTTGACCAATCAATGAAATTTTTCCGAATATGCAACTCGATGACATTGGATAGAATTTAGTGAAAAAATAAAATTTTAGGAGGGATTTAATGTTAACGAATTAAAAATGTTTGGAGCATAACTTTGACTCCAAGGTGACAGGTATCTGTGGAATTTTTAATAACTTTGGAATTCGACGAGTCCGTGAAATTTTTTCGAATATGTAACTCGGTGACGTTAAATAGAATTTAATGAAAGAAGAAAATTTTTGTTTGGATTTAATGTCAAAGAGTTAGAAATATTTGAAGCTATAGCTGTTGTAAAAATTGATGCGATGGATTCTAGAGCTCCAGGGGTGACAGCTATCTGTGGAATTTTTAATATTTTGGGAATTCGACCAGCCAGTGAAATTTATTCAAATTCAATGAAAGGAATTTGTTAATATTTTTTCAACACACCTTCGATAATTTCAAAAATTCGTAGGGGTTGGAATTTCAAAAATTCGTCGAACTTTGAATATTCTCAGAATATTAATCATGGATCGTAGATATTTTTTGACACTCGATCGGTAAGTGAAGTTCACGGATAATATTCTACGAAGAATAATTTTTAGAAATTCAGTCATCGTTTTCGGAGAATATATCGAATTTTAAACGAATTGGAAATTCGATATCGAACGGTTATCTGTCCGAATATTTTGCGTTAGTCACTCGAGATACCTGGAAATAAGAGAAGATAACTCAAAAATCGGAGAATTATTAGTAGAACATTGGAACTTGTACATTTGTGACTTGCGAAATGTGTCATTTTTATTCCGAATTTCACGCGCCATTGGGTTATGGTTGTGCCAAGATCACAGCTGGATTTGTCGCGAAAGTATGTCCACTGATAAATGCTTTGCGAACTTTAAGATAATACACACACTATGTATTTCTTACTAAAATTTGAAATAATGTATCGTCAATCACAGCTTTCTTCGATTTTCCGATATTTAAAAATTTTTCCGAAGTTCAGCAATTTTTCGTACAACTTTCACGTTGCTATATTTACATGAACAGGGAAAAGTATGCGAAAGAATAAATACTCCTGCACTCAAAAAATATCTAACCTCTTCGAAAAATGAAACTTGGCATATAATTGTTTGAATTAATTTACAGTTCTGAAATAATTATAGAATCTTAATAAAACAAAAATATTTGAAATTCCAAAAACCCGAAACTGTGTAATTTCGGAATTCAAAACGAGAAATTAAAAGTCAATTTGCGATTATATTCTTTAATATATTTAATTTAATATAATTATAATTATAATTAAACAAAATATATTAAAGAATAAATGACAATAATTATCGCAAATTAACTTTTAATTTCTCGTTTTGAATTCCGAAATTATTCAGCTTCGGCTTTTTGGAATTCCAAATATTTTTGTTTTATTAAATCTCGTTTTGAATTCCGAAATTTAATATATTTTTAATATATTTTGTTTAATTATAATTATAATTATATTAAATTAAATATATTAAAGAATAAATAAGAATAATTAAGATAAAAGTACAGAAGGACAAATTCGACTATGGTATAGCTTGAAAATATTATTTTCGAGCTTAGAACCATAATTAAATTCGATTCTCAAAATCGATACATTTGGAAAATGGAAATGTTTCTTCCTCCCTTCCTTACGAAATAAAATATCGAGACAGCGAGGGACAGGTATGGCAACAGTAAAAACACAGGACTTGGATTTTCTAAAACGTATCAGGTTTATTTTGATCAACCTAAGCACGCCCCTGAATCAGTTTCGATCAACGTAAATTTTCGCTGGCAATTTTAATACAATAAAATTGACTTAAAAAATCGAAGAATTTTGAGAAGATTCGAAATCGAAAGTAGGAAGCTTGGAAAACAGTCTTCGTCCAACCTTCATCGAGAATCCTCTTTGTACCCTATATCTCTTATTCCCACTCGGAACAGATCCCGCGAACAATTTTCGTGCTTCTATCCCCACGCCTCGGAGGGCCCCTCCGACGAGGGGAGCCTAGCCTGAATTCCACGAGAAAATTTTTCGCGCGATAGAAGAGAAGAGGAAGGAGTGTAGCGATAACGAAGGAAACGATTCGTTTCGGGAAAAATCAGTCTACGCAATCGAGAAGTCCTCCTCGCGTGGCATCCCGCGAAGCCTGCAGCTCTTCTCGTTCTTCCTACGGCCCTGCGACCGTGCTCCACTTCCGGCTTCTGCGACACGATTAGGATTTCTCGCTCGAATTGTGAACCATGGACCACCGGAATGCAATTCTGCTCGCTGAAAGGAACAGGACAGTCGATTAACGACCCATTTTCCAGCGCCTCCTCCTCCGATCAGTTCCAGTCAAGCGAACTAGGAAACGTAGCGAATGAGAAAAGTCGCCCGACAGAACGAATATAAAACACGATACACCCCGTTTTCAGCCAAGATCGAAAAATCGAGGAAATCGAGTTCGCGACGATGGAAAATGGCGGAAAATGGAGTTACGTGGATCGCGAAGCAAGTGATAATTGATATTCCCAAGTGTAAAATGCATTCTCGGGACTTACCATCGTTATTCTTCGGCCTAGACTCTTATTCACGCTGTCCAGAGTCAGTTTCGATCCTCTTGCAATGGAAGAGGCATCGATAGAACAGCGACGCCACGATGGCGCCACTGATGGGGCCTATCCAGAAGACCCAGTGATTGGTCCAGTAACCGTTCCAGACAGCTGGGCCCAGGGTCCTAGCTGGGTTCAGACTGCACCCAGTGTAGGGGACGAAAATGGTGCACAGAGCCGCGACGCAGAAGCCGAATCTCATGGACACCGAGTCTGTGTTCTTGGAGTTGCGGCAATCCCATATGCCACAGGCGAAGAGGACTAAAATCGCGGTTGCTATGAACTCCGTCATCACACCTTGGAAGGTGGACAGATTCTCGTGGATGTCGGTCATGCAGAAGGAGAGCGCTGTGTCTGGATTGGAGCCGTAGATCAACTCGACCGGAGTTATCAGCTGGTGGAAAAGAGAAACAGTTATTCGAAGTTAAGACATTTTTAATGGAGAAAAAAAATTGTTAAAACAAAAACGTGTCTCACCCTGAGCAAACCGTAACCTATCAGACCCCCGAAGCACTGGGCACCGATGTAGAGGATGCTCATGGGCAGAGACTTCTTCCCTAGGATCAGTGCTGCCACTGTTATAGACGGATTTATGTGCGCGCCACTGACATGACCGATGCTCTGCGAAACGAAAAAAATAGGATTATGTGTCTTAAAAGACGACTGAACATGTAAGCACGGAAAAATCGTAAAACACAAAAGTTGGAATGAAAGGAGGGATTCCAGAAGCCTAAAAATCAAATTCCGAGTCTGCTGTCCAGAGGACACTTGACAATTCACAATCGCCTGCATGATCGAAATGTAATGGAGTTTCTGAAAGTCTAAAAATAGAGTCTCAATCTAGTCATTGACCCCTTCATTCTGTTTGGATTGGCTCGATTAGCAATTGTAAGCAGCGGATGACTTTCAGAACTGCCAAAACAGAAGGCTGAATCAGATGAACCTATCTAAACCTCATTAACATTGTTCCTCGACAACAGACCTGGACTCGATTAAACTAACCCCGAATGAATTACAATATTAATTATAATCGACCGTCTAAATCATGTCAGTCTTTATACAACCGGTATAAAAAGCCAAATTTCAATTTCAAATTTGTAACTTTTAATTTCCAAATGCCTAGTAAAGAAAACGGGGTATTTAATTGAACATGAACTAGCTTCACGTATGCTCACCTGTACAGCTATCATGACAGCTAGGCCAAAGGTTAGGGAGAGCTGGAATACCGAGGGGTTAACCCCCAAACTCCCGATGCAGCCTGTGCATCCAATGAAGACTAAAATGGCGGTGCCAATCACCTCAGCAAGCGCTATGATAAGAGTCTCCCAACCGGTGGCATCTTCCATCATCAAATTGCTCAGCCCTGGAACGAGAGGAAAGGAACAAGATATGATTATCCAAAGTGAAGATTGGATGTCCGGGTCGTCGCGATAGTCTTTGTCATACGCTCTTACGCTAGCTGAACCTGCGAGGCAATTTTTGTAAGGAAAATGGACGCACAGTCATTGTGAGAGACGCAGTCGTCGGAAGACGTCGCGGAGCTCCAGGGCATGTTCTCGATGGGAAACCTCCTCACCACTGGCGAGAAGATGGGCGCGGAACGAGCGAACAAAATGGCGGTCGGGCGCTGTCCAGCCGAGCGCTCTAACCTTCGATTTCGCGACGGATTTTCGGAAAATCGCGATACCAATTGAAACTCTTTCACGAGGAAATGAGAAATCATGCTTCTGGAAGCTGATAGAAATGGACGATATATCGTAATTAGGAAAAGTAAATATTTGTTGGAATTCGTGACTATGGATTCGTTAATTTTCATCGTGCATCGCGACCTCCATCCTAGCTCCTCGTCACTGGGACCACTAAGGAATTGAGAAAATAATAGGAATGGTCACCGATATCGTTGACACCGGAGTAAACAGAGGCTTTGGCGGAATACAGATGTCAAGCAGATGGCTATCGCGCGAAGAAATCGGTTTAACGAAGGCACACGCGGTGAATGCATAATGAAGAGATGGAGGAAAGGTGAACATTAGAGGCAGCTTGATATTCGAGCCGAGGCGGAATAACGCGCGCGACCACGTGCGAGATTTCCCTGCAGCGCGGAGATCCACGCTCGATCGGCTGCAATTTTCTTAATTACGTCGGGGGCCCACCCCTGCTGCGACTCATTAGGCTAACCGCGAACCTGCACGCTCGATCGATCCCGCTTCTACGTGCAATTGCCCCCGGATCGTGCGAAATTTGTCCCCCCTGCTCCTCGCTCTGACACCCTGAACAGGTTAGAAACTTAGACCTGCCTGATGGAAATAAAACGAGCACTCTGAGACCCCAACAAAGGTGTGTCATTGAATCAGTTCACGCCTCCATTCGCGTCGATTTCGCGTGAAATCGCGAATTTTTGAAATTTTTCAGAAATTGTTTCCCTCTTGGGACCAGGTCGTTTAGGTTTAATCGAAACCAAATCGAAGTGAGGTTTTCATTGAGAAAATTTGTGGGTCTTATGACGAGAAAAGTAGTGGGGGAATTTGTGGAAAATTTTTTGAAATTTTGAAAAATTTATTCCGTGATGTTCGAAAAGCTAGCGGAATTTATACGTCCCTGGTGGGCGATTTGGAGGCCTGATTGGTGAAGCTTCTGTTTTACTTATCGCGACTGCGAGCTGTAATCTGGGGTCACTATTACATATGCGTATACCAGGAATGATAAAGGGAGTATCAATGATGAAGAAATCAATAGCATAGGTCAAACGAAAAGTTTCTAGATAAACTTGGAAGATACAGGCGGAAAGTAGTGTACCTCCTGGTTCATAGTATATGTATAGTATAATTTATCTCACCAGAATTATACATTAAATAATTTCATTAGATCTATATTCTTCCATTTTTATTCGAAAATTGCGTAGAGTATACGTAAAAATAAAATATTAAATTAATCAGTAAACTATTCAACGAGAATAGATTATGCGAAACACTTCGTATACTTAACCAAATTATTCGTTTAATCACACAAAACGCATTACGCAAAACACTCCATACATTTTAATATAACGTAATAAATTATAATATAGTAATTTATGCTCGAAGTATATAGCATACTAATAAAATAAAAGTCATTTTGGTATTCACGTTTCTGCGCGCGAAAAATGACAAACATAACCCCTACAGTGAGCTGTCAAAACCGGTAAGTAATAGCGTCAAACTTTGCAACGCGCACATCTAGGTATCTCGCAATCAATGTTTGCAAAAATGTAGTACAAAGTTATAATTTCGGTGGAAAATGCGAGAATCCATTTTCCGACGAATCGCGATATGTCAACTTTGTTCGTGAATTCACACGTGCACGTGTACGTAAGCGTTAGACAGGGAATATGCGAGGGACACGTTTGCCCCAGAATTACAACGGAGTTCTCGTGATTAACCGTGTGCCGACCGGATATAATTAGAAGGCAACACGTGTCACGCACAGTTTCCATTAGCGACCCATCGAGAGTGACAGTGATCAGTCATTGACGTTTGCCTCGGCTTTCAAGTCTGCCTTTGTATTGACAAAAGCCCTATTGGAAAAGGAGAGATCCTAGTGTTACTCGTATCTATAGAATCAGGTGCACCAACCTCGGAATCTCATAATGTCATTTCGTATTATAGAGATTGGTTATGTAGTTGCCTTGCGTACCGGTCAGTGTGCACGTTTCGCGAGAACGGTTGAATTAGACAAACGGATGAGAAATAAATTTGGATATTAAACATCGTGTTCAATGGAAATAAACTGGTTTCCGAATCAAAGATTCACGTGTGATATGTAAATTAGAAAAAAGGGTATTTAATGGCATGGAAATGAGAGCACATAATAAGTGAGGTTAATCGGAATGGATATCGTTCTGTTCAATGTTTAAAGTGAATTCATTAGTGCTCTGTTGTATAATTATTCGCTTGCTTTCACGAAAATTTTTATTACATAAAAACGTGATGTAAATCATCATTGATACCATCAATTGCCAAATAGCGGTTATAAAATCATGATATAATATAAATTTGATTAAAAAACGAGGAAGTGTTCTGGTAGTTTGTGAATATTTATGTTAAAATCAACGTTCTTCCATAAGAACGTAGTTTTGTTGATGATATCTGAGTTTTATAATTGCGAATAGAATTACAAGACATACATAGGTGTTGCCGGTAATTACGATGAAAGTTACTCGTTCGTAATTAGGATTCGAGAAAGTAATGGCCCGTGAAAGAAAACAGTGAAAGGTTTGCCTTTCGAGTTTGAAATACAACAAGAAATCCATGATTTACCCATTTCCTATACCAATTAATAATTTATCGTGCAAATCGGCACGCCATCTGCTATTAGCGAGGGGAAGCATTAATCACTCGATAGCGTGGCTTGATAAAGAAGAAAACGATTATATCGGTAAAAAATATAACGATAGAAAGTCAAACGATAAGGATCAATTTTTCATCGCAACATCTACAATTAAATTCACATGGAATACGATAAACTTTTGTTTTTCGAGCCTGCAATTTTTTTATTCACTTAACATACATTAGAAAATATAGCGTTGTAAGTATATAGAGAAATGCGCATCGTAATTTACAATCTCGTTAGCGTTAGATAGGCCGATGTGCTCGAAATCGAAACAATGAGTCCCTCTCGAATTAATAGTGTACCGACTGGTATTACCGAGGGACGGAGTAGAAAGCGCGTAGAATTAATTTCTGTCTCGCCACAGTTTAGTCGTTCCCGGCCCATATAGTTCACGACTCGTCGAGAGCGTGCGCGAAAGCTCCCAAGATCGAGGACTACTTCTTACTCGAGCGTTCCACGCTCCAATTAACGTCGCTTCCGCGCTTTGCGCAACACGTTCGCCCGAGCATCTCTTCGTCCGCAAATTTCCTAAATATTCAAACGGAAAGACCTTCGTCCCGTGTAATTGAATCGTGTTCCAGCGACTTCGATCTGTGTTACGTAATATCATGGTTAGGTCTTTAGCATGGTAATGCATAAACGAAATTAGGTTAGGTAGTAATGCGAAAAATTGAACGAATTTCACGTAATTTTAAACGTTTATTTATTTTAGGACATTTGTGGTAATTAAGTTAGGTCTGAGTCACAAGTCGATGTAGACAAAAATTAACAAATTTTGCGAAATTGTAAAACATTTTAGACATACGAGATCTTGCATGATAACGAAATTAATTTTAAGAGCACTCGAAGCGATTATTTAGGTTAGGTTTTTACTGGATGTAAAAATCTAAAGGGAATGTGAACATACGTACAAGATCATGTGCGATTAGGAAGTATTAGGTTATTAAATCTCGTGTATCAGTGACTATCACCCGATTAATTGATTTTTATCAGTCTTCTTTATTTTGAAAACACTCGAACCGATTAGGCCAGGTGCTATCGATAAACGTGGCCACTTTATTGCTTCTACCGATCATCGAACCGATTGCAAATTAACCATACGAAATACTCGTGTATTTCTCACACTCACACGAGTTACAAGTATTACAGTGGGTCAAGTTCGCGGTGAATGTCCGCGGTCTGGTCGCCTAAACGACACTGTCCCACTCTTACCCATCTTTACCGACAGGGTTAACGGTGTTTGACCAAACTAAATCGTACATTCACCGTACCAACCGAAATATCTTTAAAGTTCTTCTCCCATTTAAAACATTCTTCCAAATTTTTTTCGATTAAAACTCAAAATTTAATCTATAGTATTACAATTTATATTATAATTTATTCTATACAACGTATACATCATACATACTCCAAAATAAGATATAAATTTATCGTTTTTATTATCTAGCGTTCGATAGCAGAGACAGTTAGGTTAGGATACCCTTTCTTTCTGTCTCGCCAGTTCTGAAGCTGCATTATCCTCAACTTTCTATTATGCTGATCGTTCTCAGTGACTATTAACGCGTCGTAAAGGCTAGATAGAATTTACAAGCCAATTTTCTCGAAATCGAAAAGAAGTTGAGAGATCATCCTACTCGGACAGACGAGTTTACAAGCATCGATGATGGACGAATCTGCAACTTGGATGTATCCGTAAGATAGAAATCTCTTTGGACAGTACACATCGGCGACTTTTACAGGCCGGAAAGAAAGTTCCCCGCGAAAGTATCTGGAACGTGGAAAATGAGGGAAATCATCGCGATTATATTTATTCGATATCTCGAACCGCCTATGGGCGACGTCTCACGCGATTTACTTTCGCAAGTAGGATGATCGTGCGAATCTGGTTCATAAGAAGGATCCATGAATAAAGGTAGGTGATCAACGTGACAACAGAGTGTCATGAAGGTAGATTCTGGACACTGCTCCTGTCACAATGTGTTCCTAAGGAATTAG